AGCATTCTTAGCCAAATTTAAAATGCTCAAATGGAGTTTGTCTGCCAATACCAATCAACCACCTTTATTTCCAAGCATAATCTGTAATTTATAGTAGATGACATTACAAACCATCTCTAATTTACTTAAAGGATGTTCCGGGAAGTTATGTTATGGTAGCGTTGTTAATCAATGAGCATGCTTATCTGCGGGTTATCGCTATCAGCTTATCAGTCAGTCATTTGTTCTAATGTAAATAAACCAATCAAATGTGGGACGTACTCGGGAACGTTCGGTTGGTGCTACTCTTTTCAAGAAATATAGCCTCTCTTAGTCGACTATCAACTTTGCATAAACATTGCTTTAGAATTGAAATGATAGACGCTAGTATAATTACAAGAATCTCCCAAACGTTGCCTCATATTTTCCAAAATCTATGTCTTCCCTTTATCGCGGACCTTTATGCCACATTTAAGACTTTCGTTTAGTTGAACGACTCCGTTAGATTCGAAGTCCTAAAGATAATTCCTGGGAGTAAAAAATAGACCAAAGCATTATATGCCTTTTGAGATCCTGTGACTATTTTATTGCTGTTAACAAGTACCGATACTTCAAAAAATGGTCTAATTAAGGTCAGAATTGCCAGCCCACTTGCTTCTTAATCCTTGACGTCTAGCTCTTGCTAGGACCGTAGTTGCGGAATCAGCTGATACGTGAGTTTGCTTGTGAACTGAATTCGTTCTTATATCGGTGACCTAGTTTATCCTTCTTGTTTCTCCCAAGTTCGCTAGGAACAGGATTATTTTTTGTTAGATTATCATATCTGCATTTCGTAAGATTTTACCCTTCATCGGTTTTTTCCTCAAGTTAAGTCAATTTCAGCTTTTTGCGTGACCTTCACTGGGTCATTGAATGGTTATGGCATTGAAATTACGTTAATGCAGGATTCATCTGAAGTTTGTGAGAATCCTGTAGCTTTAGGGACAAAGTCGAGGAGAAAGAGAGCTAAGTAAGTTATCCTAGGTATTTGAAACTTTATCTAGAACAAGATTAGAAGTTGCGCATTTGAATGTGGTAACCTAACGGATGGTTTTCCTTTATTTTAACTGTTTTAAAATTTTGTGAGAAATTGTAATCTTATACAGACGAAAGAGAGGACAACAGTGGGCCTATTACGTCGAGTCGTTTAAAAGAACTGTTGACTGTCTTTACGAAATCTGTCGCTCTGATCATAATATAAACGGCTGCAAGGTACTTATTTACAGAATCTGAAATGAGATCAGTGTTTTTTCGTTTATTTCATTTTTTCATTTTCATATTATCTCCTTTTCTAGGAGGCCATAATATACCTTGAAAATTCTAAACGCGATTTTGAGTCACTAATCAATACTATCAAAGTGGAGACCACGTGGGATGAATCAAGCAGGTGGATTCAAATATTTATTATACTTTCTATCAATT